ATGTTTATGTATATATGTACATACTTACATACAAAAATATAGTATATATATACATAATTATTTATGTACGTGTGCGTTTTTATAAGTACTGGACATTTGAGTCGGGTCTGGTCGGGTCTCTAGTACATCATTTTTATTGCTTGACAGCTGTCAAGAAAAAGTTTCCCAGAAACATCTTTAGGGCATGTCATCTCATATAAATATATTTCAGATTATTCTCCAAAAATGTATAATTTATTCGGCAAATAGTTTCTTAGATATGAAAGTAAATGTAAAACTCTACTTTTTTTTGAAGCGCCGTTTTTTGAGTCGGTGAGAAAAATTTCTCCGTCTAACGGCTGAACCGATCGACCTGAAACTTTCACACGATTTTTCCGAGATATATTTTCCAGGAATAAGATTTTTGTTAATATTTCGAACTTTTTGGATCACTTTAAATTTTCTGCAAAAAAACTATTTTTTTTTCAAAGGCGCCATTTTGTCAAAAGTCAAGATTTTGGCTAGTCTTTCTTCATTATCTGTATTACTCTATTGTTTAAGCAATTTTTTTTTTTTTTTTTTTGCTTTTTGGATATTCAGCGAACATAAGACCTACTGACTTCTTAAAAAGATGAAATAAATGTATGTGAGAATTTTTGTTTGAAAATTAGGGTTAAATAAAAAAAAAGGAGAAAAAATAACTATTTAAATAAAAAATATAGTGCGTTTACGATATAAGTCGAGAAAAAGAAAAAGAAAAAAAAAGAATTTTATGTAAAAGATAAAAATAAAAACACAAAAAAATTTTTTTTTTTTTKCATAACACCCAAATTTGTTTTTCCACTAATTTTGCGTTACTCTCTAACTCATTTCGTTGGGTTTCGACTAACTCCGCCTGTTTTTTTTTTAATTTTAACCATTTCAAAGAGGCCTAAGTTATTAAAAGTTGACTGAGAAATTATTAAAAAAATGAGAGAAAGGACAACTTAAATGTTCCAATCAAATTTGAAGTAAAAATTATAGGTGGACCTTTGAGATAATTTTTTCTCTTGCCTCGCTTAAGTCGAAATTTTTTAAGATGTGCCTTTAATTGCTGTTGAACTTCGTTTTATTTTATTTCTCTTAATAATATTTATCACTCACTAAATAAAGGTAACATATTCGCTAAAAATTTGTATTAGGTTATTCTCAATGAAACACGGTTTTATTTCAACTGGTATCAGAAATGAAATTATTGTCTTAAAATAACTTAAATAAATATAGTAATTAATAAAAAAAAGCTTTCAAATGCTCTAAGAAAGCTTTATGCAATTTTCAAAAGCTCTGAAAAAGCTTTGTGGATTTTTCTGGAGTTAAGTTTGAAAAAATCTAAATTTCAAAACCCAAATGAGCAATTGAACGCTACTTCTAGATATTATAGTATTCATTACTTTAATAATTTAAAAACTAACAGGTGTCACTAGTTGTAAAATTAGCGCAATTATTGATTAAAAAATGAATTGAAAGCTCAATTTCGAACAAAATCTTGAATTTTAAATATTTTGTAAACTTTAAAATTTTTAGAATTTTTTTAAAATTATTTTTCAATTTTTTTTAATCTTTTTTTTATTTCTCTTTCTTTTTAATTCATTTTCTGTACTTTAAAAAATTCTAGAGCTGGCGCTACCAATTTTTTTTTTTGTAATTTTTTTTTTCTTAATTTTTTTATTCACTTTTTGTACTTTAAAAAATTAAAAAGCTGTCGCTAATGCATTAAAAGCGCGATTTTGAATCCAGTCCCGAACTTTGTAATATTTTTTCAATATTTAAGTAATTTAAGTTAGTACTTATTAGAAAATAGTGCTTTAACTTCCGATTTTCATAGCAAATAAGCTTTATTAGTAAAAACTCTTTGCAATAACACAAAAAAAAACAAAAAAAGGGCAATTTTCGGCTAACGTGTTTCGTTCTCAGTTTAACTAGGTAAGTGGGCAATTGCACAACTTAAGCATTTAAATGGTAATGAAAAATACTTTATATCAAAGAAAGTTATAGGTATGTACTATGTGCATAAGTATGTATGCATGTATGTACTCAGGTATATCACACATCCACTTGAAGTACTTCTACATTTTAATAATAGAAAGGAAAGATAGAATAAATTGTTCGACGCCAAAATGTCTTGAATCATTAGTCACTTATATTTATATATATATATATATATATATATATATAGCTATCTCTAATAGCATCTAAATTTGTTATGTAAAACGCGACATACACACAGTTGGCAAGGCACAGTTCACTTGCACAAATGCTGTTTATCACATGTTGATCATATGTACAGCTATCAATTGCTTTGGGATATACGTGTACCTGGGTTGTGGGAACAATACTAATTATGTATGCATGCACACATATACATGTGCATATGCTTTATTTAAGCACTTTGATAAAATATAAATGAAATGCACGTTGACTTCATATGCCTTTGAGTTCATGATATGTGGAAATCGCTGATGGAAAGGATGAATTGCTTACGGAGTTGTATATGTATATGCATATACGCACATATATGTGTGTAGATGTGTATAACTTAAATGTAGTCTTTATTTATAGAAACATATTTACCTGACAAATGATTGATTTGCTCAATTTTTATCAGTAATTCGTTTGTTTGAAACGCTAACGATGTACATACATATGCATAAGTGTGGCGCTATGAGAATTTCGAATTGTATTGTTGTATTGTTTCGGCATTCCACACTTTACCATGCATATGATAAGCGACACGTTCTTCCGCATATACACGCACCCAGTAAGAAAAATCAAACATATATAAGAATAATTTTAAGAACAGTTGATTTTACAACAAAAAACAGAATTTACTTTAAAAAATTTATAAAATAATACAAAAAGTTTAGAAAAGTAGCAAAAATAA